GAAAAGAGAAAAGATGAAGGGAAAACACTAGGGTCACCCCGGTCCTTTAGAACAAAAGAAATGAGAAGAACAGGAAATCCAACATAGTAATCCAAAACAAAATTTAAAAGATTCGCATCACAATTCGCAGTGCACAGTTTTTACAGATATAAGAAAGGTACCCTACCTTCTTCCAAAAGTAATCATGTACCCTACCCAGTGCAGCACTTTCACCTCCAACAAAGTTCATTCCTTTAGAAACCTGTCAAAATAAGGACACATGATACCATAATTTGAGCTTCAAAAACAAATTAATCCACAATTCTTTTAATGCAACTCTAGTGTTGACCTGCCTTTTCCTGCTGAAGCCCGAGCTCAGAAACTTGTGGGACATGTCCCCAATCCCCAACCTCTGGTGGAGGACCAAATGATGTTGGGAGTTTAGTGCAATTACGAACTTTTGATTTGTATTCCACTGACTGTTAAGTTTAACCATCAATCACACAACTGATGGATAAGATATGAGAAAGTATCTTAAATTGCAAGTCACCTAACTCAGAAAAATATTGTGATGGCTAATACCTTACGGAACTGAGTGTACACATCTGGTAAACTCTCACAGTCAAATGGAAGGTCATCTATATGATACATTGTACTACCCCAGACTAATTCCAGCTTAGTAGTATTTCCAGATCCTGGATCATTGCCTATTCCACCAGATGATGGCGATACAAGCTTTTGCAGATTTCTGGTGACCATTTTTTCTACTTTTACTTCCTCACTGCATGTTTCCTTGTGGGCATACACCTGTAACATACACTCACCTCCTTAGTATGTAGTAACAGAGAAGTTCAGAATTAACAGAACGTAGTAAAAGAAGCATCGATATTTGGAAAGAATAATGAAAGAAACAGCTTCTTAACTGTGTGTGCCTTGTAAGCTTTCGCCAAGGAGGGGACAATATCTTCTGGTTTACCATGTTGAATTAATAGGTCAAGTCCCCGCTTCACTAGGTTCCTTTTCAAGTCATTTAAGCACTCTATGATGAATTGAGCCCTTAAAGCTGTCAAAGAGAAGACCTTGGGAGCTCATCAAATAAGTAGCAATACAAGCAAACAAATCTAATTTAACCAAAGAAAATTGAAAAGAAGGATTAGGTAAATGACAAATCAACAAACTAACTATGCCTTAATACTAAACTACTGAGGCTGATACGAATCCTCTATAACTGTTCCACTCTATTTGGCTCATTCCATTCCAATACCCAAAATAAATTAGGGTTCTCTAAGACTAACATTCTAAATCTAACATTATCTCTATAATTTTTTTCTTATCAGTCACATTTATCCCTAAACTAACACCAAGACCTTGCCAAACTAACAAACTCCCACAATCACCAGACATAATGTAAGTTTTCCAACAACGACAGCTTAATCTGAATTAGTTGGTATAGCTATACGTACCTTTTGCTTCCATGTGTTCTATACATTCTTAGGTTATATGAATTTCGAGAGATTGTAGATCTTTTGAGACAGATTATCTCCACGTGATTTTAGATCTATATTGTCACCTCAATACACATTATATCATCATAGTGTCACACCTATAAACCAGTGCATTTTAAAATCTATGTATCACATGGTCAAGCTAGCTAGCCTTATCTTAGTTTATCATCAATGCATACTATATGCACCTTCGGTTGTATAATTATCATTTCTTATATTTTCTAAGCTTGCATACAAATTGCCCACATCTTTACAACACTCATATTTAATTTGTTTGGCCTAAAGTTCCAATTGTCTCAAAGAACATTCTTTGATAACCCTGTAAAGTGGGCACCAACACCTTGCACATGCCTTTAGGACACTATGATATTAACACTAGTACATCTGTGAGAATAGTTTCATTTCATCCAATCACGAATCAAAACGCTTCAACAGGCCTCCAGAGAATGCACAATATAACACTTCCATACTGCATTCTTCACCTCTACTATATTCAGATTCGAACTTAAATTATTGGTACACAACAGGCAAGTGCAATAAAAGGCTAAGAATTCATTATTATTAAAGCTGATAAAGAATGTGCAACCGCCATCGCGAACATATAGATAACCAAGTACTAACATTTTAATTCAGTTATCTACAATTAAATCACAAACTCATCAAAAAAAGAGACAACGAAAAACAAGAAAAGCCAGCAACTTTTGATACCCTTTAGCTTAAAGATTGTCTTTTCAGTATCATTTTCCCAACTTATTTAGAATATCAAACAAATACTAACTAAGATTTGAATCCCAATTCAAGAACAGAGTAGACCATTTTACCTCCTGTTTTGGGCATTCCAAAGTAATGGGTAGTCCCAAAAAGCCTAGGATCAACACAATACACAGGCAAGATTGCTTCAGATGAAACCCAAGCTCTTAAAAGAGCTTCATTATCCAGTACCCTCAAATCATTCCTGAACCAAACAATAGCAACCCCTTTACCTTTCCTCTTACCCAAACCACCAGACTCATATCTCTGAAAAGTCTGTTCACAAACTCTCTCCATTTCTTCAGGGGTCAGTCCTGGAACATTTTGAACAGTGGGTGTTGTTCTGGCAGTTAAAGAAGCCATTTTTATGGAGAAATTGCAGTGGAATGTGAAAAGGGTGTGCTTTGATTTGCTTGAAAATGGAGTAAATTTGGTTAACAAGAAGGGTTGTTTGATCATCACAATCAAGATTCAAGAAGTGAAAATGTGAGATTTTGAATTATAGGATTTTGCAAAAGTGACGAATTGGAAGGAGTTTTTCATTTGAGGTGTTGAGAAGGTGACACGTGGCCTGAGAAATTTTGTCTTGTCGTGTCGTCTTCTTAGCCTTTTGTTATCCATTTTTTTTCTGTTTTTGCCATGTTGGCAATGTAACGTTCTTTCACTTTTAGCTACTCATTATAAATTTTCCAACCATAATATTATTTAATTTTATTTGTTTAGTTTAAAAAATGAAAATTTAATTTTTTTCTAATTTTTTTTCACTTTGTTGTTAAATTATAATATTATTTAATTTTACTTGTTTAGTTTAAAAAATGAAAATTTAATTATTCTTAATTTTTTTTTTACTTTCTTGTAAAATATTGTTATTTTTTGGTATTTTCATAACTTGTACCATTTAGTTATAATTATATGACATATTTTACGTTTAAAAATTTAAATAAGTCTATCTTTAATTGTAAGTTTTTGATATACCTTTAAAAATATTTTGAATTGTTAATCACTATGACTAGTATATCGTACATAGTTTCCAAATAGAAATGTCTGATATACCTCTCAACTTTGTCATTTGAAACTGATATATCACTCACTATGAAAGTGAGTCATATATGCCCTTACCATTATACAAACGGCTCACATTTACCCCTGCCGTTACAAAATGAGCTCACATATACCCTTTATTTAAAGGAAGTTAAAATATCAGTTCTAAATTTCTATTTTTTACTTTTAATTTTTTAAAAAAATTATTTAGGGGTATATATGATTCTTCTTCAAAGTTCAAGGTATATTTAAAAAAAATTCATACATAAATTATTTTTTTAATTCTTTTATTATAATTATTTGAGTTTCCTATTCTTATTTTATTTTTTTCTTTCATTCCTTAGATTAAATTAAAAAAATTTAAACTATTTTATAATGTATTTTGATTTTTATATTGGAAGAAAACAGTTTTATCATATACATTAAGTTTTACAAGAATACTGGTGAAACATAAATAAATTTGATCGTCAAAATAATAATTCTAAATTAGTTATTGAGACCACAAAAAAAGAGTCAAAAATTTTTTTTAAAAATGATTAAATTTACTCATATGAGATTATATATTTCAGAAAAAAATAATAAAAAATTATTATTTTTTTATTTCTGAAAGAGGAAAAGGGATGTTGGTCATTTGTTTATAAATATGGTTATATATGAGTCACTTTTATAACAAGGGGTATATGAGCTCTAAATAACAAAGTTGAGGGGTATATCAAGACCCTTTTCATTCCAAATATAAAAATTTTATTTAAGAAATTTGAAGATTTCATGAAGAAGTTCATGATCAAATTTAAATTGTTTGACTCTCGAAAGGAAAAATGTATCACATAAATTGAACAAAGAAAGTAATTAATAGCGGTGATAAGATAAAATTACCCTTCATTTATTTATTATTTATTAAGCGTGCATCAAATCAAATATGAACAAGTAAAAATAAATGTTGAGAAAGTACTACACCAACATAGTTATTTGGATAATGCATGCACCAACTTCGTATGTTACTAATATTTTATTTCATACATAAGTTATGCACTCTATATGATAGTGTGATATTTATTTCTATTAGCAAATCATAATTGAGGAAATTAAAGTTTAACGATTTTGTATTACTAATTAAATACCTAGTTATTTGGGATTCTCCCAAGTCCTAACTGAAATAATTCCGTAGCATTCTTCACAAACAAAAGAGAAACTTGATATAGCACTCGTAAGTACTTCTATATCCTTACTCGTAAGTACTTCTATATCCTTAATCAAGAGGTGATATCGGACCAGCTACACCTCAGGATAGTGGTGTTCTGTAGTCTGCTTCCCAAAATGTTTAGAAATTGTGACAAAATGAATATTTATATCTTACAATAAAGTAATACAAACTAAGTGTGTTTTGCTTTCTAGCCTCTAAAATGACTGTTGAACATTTTTATCACATCCATATCTAACTTAAAACAAGGGATTTGAACTATTGTCATGTATTTGATCATGAATTCATAAACATTAATTAAGTATGTAAAACTTCCCACTAAGGTAAATATTATAACTCTCAACTTGTATTGTCAAGTACAATGGTTGATCCTGGATTCATAAACACTTGCAAAATAGGTAAAATTTCCCTATTATGGTAAATAATATAACTCTCGACTTAAATTGTCAAGTACAATGATTTCTTGTCTGGATGATCTCGTCATTATACATACACTTGCAATGACAAAAATTGAGTAAAATTTGTCAGTTAATCAGTGGTTTACCTATTCCCAACTGACTAGTAGATCCAGTCTCAACAAGTCTGGAGATTTCTTGTGGCACTGGAATGTTAAGCTCAGAACATATCAAGTGTATTATTTTCGCGGTCACAGTTCCAAATGACATCTTATTGAGAGTTACTGCCATTGCAAACTTATGCTCAATGTTGCAAAGACCAGTGGATCCACCAATACCTGAATGCCCAAAGCCAATAAGTTCCTCATTTGTTGAGTAACTCCTTTTAAATCCAAGCCCAAACATCCCATTGGGATAGGTCAAGTTTTCATATTCTCCAACACCCATGAAAGCATCATGAACTTTTGGGTTATGGAAGAGTTTGATAGTCCGGTTATCACTTGATGAATCATCAATACTGCATCTATTGTCGCTGGGAATCTGGATGTAAACATTACCTTTGTCATGATGTCCAGAACTAATCTGAGTGGATAAATTGCTACTTTGAGTCTGTCCAGGACCTTGATCATCTAAACCAGTTTTCTTTTGAGATTTTTGCTTCTTTACAGTCTGCTGAGAAGGGAACTTTGGAATGTGCGGGTGACTTCCTAAGGTTGGCATGGAAGAATGATGTGGTGGAGGAACTTTCCCACCCTCAGCAAGTGCAGCGTAGTAGCGGGCTAAGGCACGAGCTGAGCAATGGCCATTCGCAGCAGGTATAATAGCACGGCGAGCATAGAGTGAGTTAAATATTGCAGGTAAAGTAGTTGCAAGTTGAGCCATCTGCTGTGGCTGGAAGGTGGTTGGAAGATCTGAACGGTTGCCGACATTTGACAACTTGGTGAGATCACTCATGTCTATTGTAAGTGTTGCAAGTCGCGATTCCACACCTGCAATAGGGAATTTTAGGTTTGTCTCTTACGTGGTAAAGGAACTGGTGAGCCTTTGAGGGGGTAAAAAAACTTATACATCTTAAGAATAAGGAGATTATTAATACGGAAAGAACTCATTCCTTGTAAATATGGGAAAGGTTTAGAACCCATAGTTGTGAAATTAGAAATAGGAAAAACATTTTATTTTTTTGAGGATTACTTTATTTTCCTTGTAACTTTACTTACAAACACTATTTAAACCTCAACACGCTTGAAGGGAATAATCAAGAAACTCATTCCCATCATCTCTTCTTTTCTCATTCTTCACAGTATAGTTCAAGTTCAAGATCTGGTGCACGTTGCTAATCAATTTTTGGTGTACCCGTGATATTCTTAGATATTCCTATTAATATAGATGGCTGTGAGTTATCTGTAGATGAGTGTGGGCTTTCTACTATTTATACACAACTTGCATAAAGAGGCTTTAATCTTACAACATTAAGAAAATATTAATTACCTCATCCAGAAAATGAAACTACTCTATTGACAGAGAAACTTGGGACTGAAAGAAACTAACTATAGATGACAAGGCGGAGGGAGAACCGAATTAAGTCTAATACTCAATCATGCTAATCATGATTATTAGGGGTGTGTCTAAGACCTTCGCTCTGTTTGTTTACACAAAGATGAGTGCAGTGGTTAAGCAGAATCAATTAGCTTACTCGTGGATGTGCATCACTCAAGGGAAACAAGGAAGACTCAGGCAGATGTGACAGTTGCCTGGAGATCTGCGGCTATAACATTTCCTTCTCCTGAAGGTCGCAGGTCAATGCACACAGCGAGTGGTTTCTCACAGTTCTGGTACCATGTGCAGACAAACGAGGAAGAAGCTGAAGGAATGCAAGATTAATGTCATACGTCTAAGTTCTTTCATATTCAATGTTATTATAACTGCTTTGTCTGACGCAGGATGGGGTTGGAAATTTTGAAAATTTAATGATCTGATTCATATGCTGAACTTACGTGCAGCTGAAGGTGCGTAGTTGCTCAGTAACCACCTCAAGTCTAGAGGGGCAGCTTATTTCCTCATCAAAAAAATAAGCTGTCGCCTCAAATTTGTGTGGTTACTGGCCAGTTAACTGTGCACCATAAAGTACCCATAAGTTCAGCATGTTAACACCATCAATACTTCAACTGCAGCATATAAACATGGAAAATTATTTTAGACCTTTAGAATTTGATAAGATGGCCGTGATAATGAAGAACATGGATAAAAGCAGTCTAAACTTTCATTCTTCCGAAGTATTAACAATGGGAAATAGTACATTCCATGTAGTTAGATTAGTTATCAACTGCTGAGGAGCCTAGAAACTATGACATATTGTTTTCTAAAATGTCAATCAGCACATAGCTAAAGAGATTGAATAAGCAAAAAGACTCAATTGACAGCAAAAAGCAGCAGGAGGAATAAGGAGGTTCCAAAAAGTAGACACTGATCATACCTGGAGGAATTCCAACATAGAGCTCGCCATCAATCTTTAAAGGGCGAACAAAAACTTCTTCTAGGAGTTCTTGAAATCGTCTTCCTGATGCTCTCTGTATTGAGATGACAATAGATAAATGCCTCAAAGCATGTCAAGATTTTAAAATATACTTGTAGATATATGTTTCTGTAGAGATGCTCCACTACAAGAATTCATTAATAAATTCAAAAGAGGAGCCACTAAGAGCTACTGTCAGGATCTTTCTGCAACAAACCAATCCCCACTCCTACCGTGAGTCTGTGACCATAAACATGGAGCATAGATGGAAACTTCCTTTCAACAATTATTAATTAAACATTCTACAATAACATTTAAGCTTTGCATACTTCAGTCGATTCTTAGGGGTCATGACACAAATAGTGAGCAAAATACTGCAGTCAAATTTTTTTTTTATCAGAAAACATGAAATGCAACATTACCTCAATAATGCCTCCACATAACCAGCCAAAAGACAAATAATGGTACAGCTGCTCACGACCTGGTGCAGTTTCTGGAGCAGACATGGCAATTCGCTTCAAACATTCATCCCAATCGGTCATCAAAAAAGGGTCTTCTTGGTTTATATCACTCATGGCACTATGTAAGCCAGAGGTATGATTAAGAACATGATGAACCTGCCAAAATTAACATGCACCCAAATTGACCTAGTTGGAATATAAACAATAACAACAAGGACTAAGAAATTGATATTTTCAATTCATTGTGTTGCTTTCTGCAAGTAAATTTGAATATTTTCTAAAAAATAGAATAACTAACAGTTACCAGTGTTAACTTTATCATATTTGTTTTCTTTGATCATCCACTCACTAAGAGGGCTCAGAAACAAGATTGTAGTAAAACAAAAATTTCTAAGGAGGTCTATATCAGATCTATATATACCTTTATTTGGTCTTTTCCATTTGATCCAAATTCAGGCCATATATTCGCAATATTGTCCTCAAGCTTCAGCTTTCTGTTAAGATTAAATGTTCTCATTGGTTAATTGCAAAAGCTGAAACTTTGTATCATAAATAAAGCTAGAGCACAATATATGTCTCAGACATTGGTACCTCTTAAAACTTCAAAACAAGCAAGATAAATTAGATGAAAGAATAGAATTACAAGACAGGTATAGAAAAGATCAGAGGCATTATCAGATGAATCATAAGACATATCCACCTTGAAGCTCTTAAAGTCTGAATCAGTATTTTTACATTGAAGTATAAGCAATACTAAGCAACGCGAGGTGCATACCATCTAAATTTTGATTTTACCAGGAACCTGGCTTCTAATGTAAGAGCATATCGATAAATAAACTCCCAGTGATGTGCAAGTATGAAGAAATAACGACATGTCTCAATTGTAGGCAAATCTTAAAAAAGAATTAACTTTCTTGGTAAGTGAAAAAATAAAGAGGTAAAAAGAGCTTCGAGATATTTAATGGTCCTAGCAAGATCTTTCTAGGTCTGACCAATATTCGTCTCAAGCTATCTCATTAAAGAAAAATAAGTACATTAAGCGTAGAGCAGAGTGGTGTTGCTATTTCTGTATGGTTGCTTTTTCTGTATCAAATACTCCAACACTGGAATACATGAACAATTTACAATGGCTTAACAGTTAACAAGGAATAAATCATTTGGATGGTGCATAATCTTAAGATTCAGAAAATCCTAAATAAAGCTTGGGATATGGCAAAAAAATATGGAGTACAGGAAAAAACTCTATCCACACCAAAGGGGCAAGATTATAGAGAACAAAAGCACAGAGATCAGTGGTAGAAACATTACATCCTGACTAATAGTATCAGAAGAAAACGAAAACTAACCGGTCACCATCTGAAAAAGTAATTAAATAATAGATAGCATTATGTATTAAGAAAATTTCATTATTTTTATTTTGTACCATAGCAGATTGATGCAGACATTATTGGAGAAATATAGAAGACTCATTGTTTCATTGGTTTAAATGATTTAGAAACTTCTGAATTTCATATCCAGAGGACTGAAAATTAGGACATCCAGAGAATATATTGAATTTATTAGCATAACATACCCATTATCAACCAGCCAGTGCACCAGTCCAGCACATATTCCCTTTGTTGCTGAAAAAACAGAGAATAAGCTATCAGGTTGGACTGGTCGAGGATCATATTTTCCAAGTACCCCAGCAGCAGTATCAATGATCACTTCTCCATCTTTGTAGGCACATACCTTAAAATACACAGCAAACAATGAGCAAGCTTGAATCAGTGAAACCCAGGAACAAATCGCAAAATTCATAGACCAACTTAATTGGGGAGACATTTCTATATTAGGACATTTGGCAGCAGTATGACTAATCCATGCAGCTAGGATCGTTAAATCACTTCATTAAAAGAAATGTGGAAAACAACATCCTATTCTAAGTTGATAAGTCCCAATATAATATCAGAAACCCAAATGAAACATTGAATAAGAACCTGAACTTCTACAAGAGTTGAGTACATATCCGATTAATAGCAGTACAGAGTTTGACAAAAATTATCCATTCCTATTCACTTAAAGAACTCTCAGATCAATTCAACAGCTGCAATGACTAACTGATGTCCTTGTGAGAAATATATGAGAAAATATTATTGAATTGTGTATCTAAATTGTTACATTGAGACCCTATTTATATACACTTCATTGGAACCCTTTTCCGACTAGGATTCCTATTCCTATTCTTATTCCTATTTCTATTCTAAGTAGGAAATACTAATTTCTATTGTAACACTTCTCTATCTGAAGCATCCACATGGCTCACATAGACGTTTCCAGTGCTTTTTTCACTCATCTCATCTCTCAGAATTGTAAGATGTCCAGTTGATATTCACAGTAGCTGATTGCTCAATCTTCTGTATTAATCTTGTGCTTTCTCTTTATTTCAAGGTACATCTTACTTGTACACCAACCCTAAACTGAAAAGGTACTCCATACTTTATACTAAATTTTATTCTCTTTGACTGAGTGTTCAATCAAAACTTATCTTGACTAAATACCCTTTACTTTTTTGCTGCGGCAAGAAATTGCATCCTACAGCACCAATAGTGTTGGCTGCCCCTGCAAGGAAGAGTTGTCTACAAAGCCATTGGGAAGGGGATCAAGGTGGCAGGATAATCAGACTGCAAAGACATAGCAATTACGAGTATGTACCTGGATTCCAAGTATTTTCTCAGCATTCCCAAGCTCAACCAAAAGTTGCCTTAGTTTGGCTTCAACATCAGAATGAATTGGGGTGTCATAGATCCATCGTGGATTCAAAGCTGGCTCTCTATTTAAGTTGCTGTACAAGTTGCCAAATACTTAATGAGCAACGGATCCAGTGATATACGTAAAATAAGCACAAAACAGAACTAACCATTGGAGCACAGATTCAGCAAAAGGCCGCATGATTTCTATATAAACTATGCGCACATTCATTGTTGCAGAAAGCCCTGAGAATCACCGACAACCACTGAGTCAGTTGTTCGCACTTAGAGGATACAAAGAGGAGATAAAAGAGAACATTCATCACAAACCTCTAAGAAGATTAAGAACCCTCCCGAATATAACAATATCACTAGGAAAAGCATCAACCTGGAAAAAATTGTCAGCTGGTCAGAATCATCTAAGTCAGATTAATAATTCAGTCACTAGTGATTGAAAAAAGTTAAAAGCTTACAGGATTAAAGCGTTTCACTTCCTTCTCATTGAGTTTCATCTTTTCTTGTATAACCTTGATATTTTTTAACCTTTGCTCAGATAACATTTTCATACTTTCCTTCATCAAATTGAGAGATAAGTCAGACGAGGGAAATTGGATAGAAATAACCAACCAAAAAGAGAAAGCTTACAAGAGCTTCATTTGCAGGCGTGGAAGAACGGAAGAACACAGAAGTAACCTCCATAGCCTGTTCCGGTACGTCAAGGCGAAACTTGAGTCCCATCTCTGCAAATGCAGCCAAAAGTGCTACATGGTCCCCCTGCAAGAAGTGGTATCTCAATTTTTAAATGGCGAATTGGTGGAGAAACAATAACAAAATTTTGTTGATTATATTAAACAAAACCACAAATTTTTCATTGGAATAGGAGAGGCCAACAGGTCTTCAACAAGAAATTACAGCTAAGACTGAGAATAATAACAAGATGAGAAAACAGATATAGCTTGGATGATTTTATAATATATGCTTATCTTATAACTTTGTCCTGCAAGAGGGAAGATTATCAAACGGAAATACAACTAAGTAACCGGGCTCATTGATTGTTAGCTGAATTTTAGCACTATGTACAATATAAATAAAACTATGACACAGATAGAAAGGTTTTAAGCAATTATCCTTTTTCTGATACCAGAATATCAGCAAGGGTAGAGGAAATAGGAGGCCCAGCTGGAAATTAGAATGTTGAGTATTACTAAAAAGTTGAGTGTCCACACTTGGTAAAATACTAAAGGTTAACTGTTGATACACAGGTTTGATACACGAGTATAGTGCATATCATGGCATATCAGAATAATACTTCTGAACCAGTTAACTGCTGTTAGAGCTTGCTCTGTTTCCCCCATATGAAAAAAATAATTGTGGCATAAAAGTCTATGTTAGGAATAAAAGTCTCCATATTTTGTGGATGAGGTAGTATCCTTAGTAGATCTGATATGATTTCATAGTTGGATCTGTTATCCTTTCTCTTTGTATTTATGGTTTTGGCACTATATATCCTAGTGCCTTTTTCTTTAATACTGAAGTTATCATTCTCAAAAAGTATTAATACAACATTTGGATACCAATTTTGTGTTCCATATTAACATAACTTGCATAACTTATATGGGAATCTGTGCATTACTTAATGCAGCATAAACTTTGGAATAAGAAAACGTTTACTAGACATGGATAAGAGCACCTACAATGATTTAAAAAGGTAACCTCACATAATGTGCATTATTTTCGTAAAAAAGAAATGAAAATCTAACAAAGTATGAAATCTTTATAATTTGTGCTTTGAAGTTTTTTAAACTAAAAAAACTTGTACATACATATAGTGACTATTAAAGCTAATTCTTAACATTTGTACTGTTCTCTGCATATTAATTTCCGTATTAGTTATCGCATAGTTTTTCTTAAATTATTCACATAACCATCATATATTACAGCCCTGCATAATTAGACCGTGAACCAAAAGACTCCCAAGTGAAACCTTCTATACCATGTTTCCATCACCAGATGTCTTAATTTCAGAGTATCTTACATCTGTTGCATGAATTATGCAAGTTGAAGAGTTAGGCCATGGGCCCAGAACTCATTACAGGGTCCAAAAGGTAATTGCAATCTTCTTTATTCTGAAAATACCATTAGATTGGAAGATGTTCCTTCCCATTGCTACAATGTGCTGCCTTCTTGTTCAGGTAATGCTCCTCCTGCTGTTCCAATATTCATTTATTTTTCAACCTTAATGATGGAGAATTAGCTTGCCATTCTTTTGACTTCCGTCAATATCATCCATTAGGTACTCTTGAGGTCTTCCACTGAAAATTTGCTCACAATGTTAGAGGAATTCCCTCTTGAACACCTTTTCTTCAAATTTAAAGGAATTCGAGAAGTTCCTCTCATCTTTCACTTGGAAGGCAAAGGTTCCTTGTGCATTCACGCATTTATGTGGTCCTTCTCACTTCAGGCTTAACACTGCTGACCTGATACAGTAAAAAAAACCTTACAATCTAGAAGTCCTCACTATCATAGTATGTGATAGGAGAGCAAGGAGATTGCTTCTCGTTTTTATTCATGTTGTTCATCAACAACAGAGCTCTACAGTACTTAGTAGCTGCATAAGACACTGTTGTTTCATTTTCACTACGTGAGTTTAGACATTACACTGGGGGATAGGATCTTTGTGCATTCACGCATTTACGTGGTCATTGTCGCTTCAGGCTTAACACTACTGACCTGATACAGTAGAAAAAACCTTACAATCTAGAAGTCCTCACTATCTTAGTATGTGATAAGAGAGCAAGGAGATTGCTTCTCGTTTTTTATTCATGTTGTTCATTTACACAGAACTCTTAACAGTGTTTAGTAGCTGCAGAAGACACTGTTGTTTCATTTTCACTACGTGAGTTTGGACATCACACTGGGGGATTGGTAAATAAATTAAGGTTAAATTCTATGTAGAATTGATCTTCAGGCTCCATTTGTTTACTAGGGTAGAGTGTGTAGTCAGGATCACACCATGATTGTTCATTCACTGTACCGCCTCCTATGAGCAGTTTGTATGTCCTATAAGTGGTGTAAAGCAATATTTCGCCGACCAAATCAAAGAATACACAATTTTCTGCCCCCCCCCTATTTAAGGGCCTCCTAAATTCAGAACTTTTAATACTTGTATCAGGGCCCACACAACTCTAGAGTCTGTGTCTCAGCTACGATCTCAAAACCAATATGTGCCTTCTCCACTATGAAAAAATGTCTTTTTTTGGTGCAAGTGGACAAGCCTATATGTGTGTGTTTCGTGTTCAAGGCATCCTTGCTAATATATGATCTAGATATGCATAAAATATGCTACATTGGTATGTGTGAGTATCAGTTCTTATTCTTCCCTGTGCCTGGTATCTTCGATAAAACTTTATTAGGTAATGATTCTCTTGACAATGGTTTAAATAATTTGCAAAAAGATCAACAAATATGACTTGGTCATGAAGTATGACAGCAGTTAGCCAGATAGGACCTTGATGACATGGCTGCATCGATAAATTCATAAATTCATTGAATACATCATTACAGGTATATACAATCCTCATTGGATGTTAAAGGAACTGGAAAAACCTCGGCAGCTGCCAGAAACATCTTCGCAAGAGCTTGTTTCAAGGAGCTTGAAAGTAGCTTTGTGAGTCCAAAATCCAACAAAATTGGGCGATGTGGTGGTTCCTTGCTCACCAGAAAATTTCCTATTTTTGACAACCCAAGAGAATTTTCAACAGAGTGAAACATATTAAGAGTTGAAAACATGTTTTCAGTATAATTAGCAGGAAAAATGTTGTAGCTTTGGTAGAATCATTGTGAGGTACAAAAAAAGGTGTGTGTCTGGACAGGCAGCACATCAACAAAAACAGATGAGACATGTTAAAATAATTAATGAGATGACAGTGACTCATCCATAATGAGCTAAAAGTGAATGGAGGTGTACCTGGATGAGGGTCTCCATTAAAAAATCCATCAACATAAATTTGGTGTGCATATGCACGTGTAATTTCTTCGACAAGTTTTTGCTTATCTACTCCCAAGGCTTGAAGTGATTCGGCATCATTCAAACGAACACCGTCCATATACTCAAGTACGAGCACCTTTTCAGTAGACTGCAATTTTAAGCAATCCAATATAAACATGTTATGGATGGATAAAAGCAACACTCGTCTGTTTTAAAGTATAATTGTATACGAAATTGCATTTTTAGTATAAGAGCTGTTTCCTGAAGTGTCCAGCTCAACTTTTGGAATTCTTGTATTCTCTAATGAAGTAATAAAGCAAGGTGACTGCTCCCAGACTTCTGTAATTTATGCAAGTACCAGCTTGAAACCATTATATCAATAAAACTACCTTACCTTATCATTGAAAATAATGTTATTGGAAAACAGAAGAATACATGGACAGAAGTAACGGATGAGAGATTCAAGTGATTGAAGCCTACAGCTTTGCCTATACCTTTCTGAAGTAATCCAAAAACTAATAGTAATAAATACCATAAACTAGCTCAGCATCTTTTTTGGGTGAAAAGGTAAGCAACCATTATATTAATAAATAAAGCAGCCTGGCACTAGCCAAGAAAAGAAAGTAGATATTTACTTAAGCCAGAAAAATTATGAAACTATTTATATGCATTTCGAAAAGATGGATCTTTGGAAACAATTCCTCCGTAAATTTAACAACTGGCGAAATGAAATAGGAGGCAATCAGAAGCTATTCTCATATGGCCCTAAACACAAAATCAAGCTGCAAATGTAAATGTAACAGAATTAAAGATGTATATTCAATTAAAGGTTGAAACAAATGAAAGTGAATATACTGCAGAAGGCATTCACGTCAAGATCAGAATAGTATAAGCAGGTTACTAAGTTGATAAGAATATAAATGTTTGTGGTATGAAACTTAGGAAGTGGAATGGAAGGAGGAAGTGGAGTCTCTTCAATAAATTCCTCCTCACACCTAATTCTTCTACTTGTGGTCATTCTTCCACAGATTTTTAATTAACTTTTTACTTATTTTCCTTTCCGGACTAGATGGATTTGTCATTTAAACGTTGTTGTTCCTGCTCCCTCACTGTGAAAGGAAAGTTTGTTCCAACAATTAAAGTATTTAAATAAACTGATTTTGTACCATTAAACTATCTGAAAACAAACTTTATACAGTATTTGCATAAACACTAACAAAATAGTATCAAATAAACTGTTATTTTTATTATTAACTAAGTGAGAAAAAAACTACAAATCTTCATAAAAGACCCAGCAATGGCTGAAGTCAGCACCAAAGAAGATGCAGACACAACAGCAGAACCAAAAAGAAAATTAAAAAAGAAAACCTCCGGCTGTTAGATCACTGGTCAAGTGTCTATGTGTCCCACTTAAGATCATTTTTAGCAAGAACTTCTTTTGTCTAAAAATGTTTATTCCTGTCTTTTTCTTCTGAAAATAATAAATAAATTAAAACGATCACTATAGGGCTACATCACTTTGCGTTTCTTTGACAGAAATGGTTGCTTCTTCAATCTCACACTGAAGCGCACCCTCACTTTGCTTCACTTCATCGCCTCAAGTGACAAAGCGCTTGTTTTTTGCAACACATGATGCAATGAAAACTACCTCACCAAGAACCTTTGCAAGATCCTTACAACTACTACATTTTGTTCCTAGACAAGTTGGTAAAATCGCTCCTAAATCATCCATATGAACCTTGGTGAAGTCCCTCTTACTGTTAAAAGAATGATGTATTCTTCTAGAATAGATTTGATGTAACAACTCTCTACATATTCCTATATATTACTACTTCCGCTCCCAGGTAGTTCTATCAATACCATCAAATCTATAAAGCATTCAAGTAGGAAAAATTACAAGAAACTGCAGCTCCTAAAACGTCACAGAATAGTTGCTTAGATAACTTCTACATACTAGAGGAACATACTTGAATGACTTCAGGAATTAGTACATCCACATGATTAGCAGGGTTACTATCATCACATCTTTTGTTACAATGGAGATTTCTTGAGACCTTTCGGGTGTTCTCTGCCAAAACCAGAAGAGAAAAGCTTAACAAATGATACAAAAGAAAGCAGTGCTGAAACATTAAGTAAATCAATTTGACTTCTTAAGAGTACCAGCCTCATGATTGAAATCTAGTTCTTTAGGTGATTCGTTGCACCATTCATCTATCATGGGGTGGAAATTATATTGTGGTTCTGCCCATGCTATCCAATCAACTATTGACTTGGCATTTTTCAGGTCCTGAAAAAGAACTTGCGTAAATGAAACTATAATTTTTCAGTGCCTCTATATTCACACAGCAAAAGAAAAATCTTTGGCTCTAGTATAAACAACCTCCAGTATAACTGCTTTTATGCCATCATGCTGAACTTTGACAACAACTTCCTGGCCATCACTCAAAGTTGCACGATGAACTTGAGCTATCTGTGGAAAGTAATATTGAAAGTAATTAGGATAATTTAAGTCTCATGTAATGAACAAAGGAAAACTAAAAAGCTAACGTTAGGACCACCATTGTTTCTTATAGCTCACACCAACTTCCTCTATTATATCCTACATCTATGGGTACTTCTAATATAACTGAAAGAAATAACTATATATATTACTATCAAGGTAGGTAAGCAGTGGCTGAATTACTGCTAAACAGCCTAGTTAGAAATACTTGTTTCCACTCTGTGCCTATCTTTTTAGTTCAGACACTTACTGAGGCAGTTGCCAGAGGAACTTTGTCAAAATACAAGAATAGATCATCCATGGTCTTCCCCAGCTCTTTTTCTATGGTTTTGCATACCTGGGAAATACAATTCATTTAATTAGTAACATTTATCTGATTAATTTTAGACATTCATTTTATATATCTGACGAATATTAGATGTTCTTTCTAGCAATCTGGTGAACGTTTAGATTTTCACACTGCATAAACATGAGTTCAGCTTCTGCAGATGTCTTGTATGATTAGCAAATATATACAATATTCAAAGAGCAAAGAAATCTAGATAATTTCCTGCTAAAGCAAATTTGGCATCCCAAGATTGTCATAGAAATGACAATCTGAATGATATAGGAGATAAGTAGAGAAACAAATATTTAAAGGATAATGGGGCCACTAAAATGTAAAGCCCAAATGCTTACTGCACACTAAGAGTTCCCTTAGGATCAAGCTAGATCTTTTTCTACTGAGCTACTTTTGACATGGTTCTGTCTAGCAAAGACAGTTCAAGAGCGATAATTGTCCCTAATAAGCGGATGACAACCTGGTGCTTTTCACTCCACTATGGCACACAGGTCAATATTTCTACTTTCACAGAGCAAAGGAAGCTCATCTTCTTGTGATTGACGAATTGTCGTCTCCCGTAATCATTTCCGGTTCCTCTTAAACTTTCACTTCCGATCAAACGTGGACGCTGGATAACAAGCGTCTAAGTGATTACAAAGAGATTAAAACCACATGGAGCAGTAGATTCTTTTCTCAGTAGGTTTCGGCTAGGGGGGAGGGGTTCTGAAGAAGAGGCTATATAGGAAAACAAAGGGATAATTATATCAAATGACCATTCAGTCAATTTGATTACCAAAAAAATGGCCAATTTCTTCTCCGCCTTCATTGTCGTCGCCAGTTTCTTCTTCCAGTTCTTCTTCTTCTTCCAGTTGTTTCCTTCAATTCTTCCAGTTCTTCTTCTTCCAGTTCTTTCTTCTTCTTTATAAAAATTCGATGTACCGCAAACATGAATTGTTTAGAGCAAATTATATATCAAAAACTCAAAACATCGAGAGGATTTCATAATCTAAATTTTGGGAATGTTTAGAGGTGATTTTGAGTTGATCGATATTGAATAATAGGTGTATACTTCATGTATACTCAGTGTATATTTCATGTATAGTTAAGCAATATTCAGTATTTTGAGTGTATCATAATGTATAGTCAGTGTATAACTTATGTACACGTAAAATATATACATCTATATTGTATAGTCAGTGTATACTTTCTATAACTTTTGGCAAGCTATATTGTATAGTCACTGTATATTTCCTTTTATTTTTGGTTATTTTTTATGTAAATAAAATATGGCTATATTTGTTGTAAAAACTAATTACTTTATTGTATAGATTTGAAACTACCTGAACACAAAATTGAGGTTTTCGGATAGGAAAGTATCCTGTGAAAATATGTTAAATCACTGAAAAGAGGAGGAATCATGTCTAAATATTAAAGCAAGATAATTATTTCCAAAAGATACTTGCTATATCCATGCAAAATCCCAGGCAACATAGAATAGATTTCCCTGTAGATGTTAGATTCTCCCACTTACATCAGAGATGCGCCAGAGTGTGAATCGTAAGTAAATGAATTCATGGGAGTTTTTAGCATATCTTTTCACATCGAATTAACCTGAGTTGCTTTGATGATTAATAGCTAACATGGTCTTCTTGGTCATGTTATAAAAAGCCCAATCAAAATATCAGCTTTAAATATGATCAAACACAGCCTCCACTCTTTTACAGTTCTGTCTCTCCTCTATCTCCTACCAATCGCACCCTCTCAGACACGCAACAAACAGAACACATGAGTCAGGATGTGCAAACCACTTTTTTTTATGCAAAAGAATCTTAAGAGAACATGATGTTTCTCAATTCTCAACGGCTCAACCACAAGAAGATATTCAGGTTATCATTCATATATTCCTCATATGAGAACATTTCATGAAACTGCACATCCATAAACTAACTCAAATCTCAATGTACAAATTAAACTGGAGACCCGCCATCACCCCACCCCTCTTCCAAACCCCAACAGAAAAGAACCCCTCAAATAAAGTGCAAGGAGAACAAATGAATGAAGGAGGAGTGCCTGAAAAGGAGGAAAGAAAACCTATAACTTTGACTCGTCAAATCCGAATCACGAGTTAAAGCTCACTGAATCATCAATGCAAATAAACTGAAGAACTACAAAACTAACACCTCCATGTCGAATGCATAAGATACAAATAATCAATTTCAAGAGATTACAAATGGTTCTTGAAAATGTATTTTGTCTAGATGATAACAGTTCTAGCAAATGACTGAAATAAAGAATGCAATCACAAGCAAGTAGGATTGTTATTGCAAACAATCCATTGTTGAAAATCCTTTGATAAGGTTAACCAAAGTTACCTCTTTTAAAGAGCGGGGAGGAAGAGAGTCCTGTAATTGCTTCAAAAGGCGTGTATAAGCCTCTGGCAGTACATCAGCACGTGTGGATAGGTACTGTCCAAGTTTCACCCACAAACCTTCTAGATCTACTATTAAATTAAGAACACGCTTAGCATTGCGTTCATGAGCTTTCTCCCATAGAGAAGCTATCTTTAACTTGTTTGCCCATTTTTCTCGCTGCTGTAAAGCCTTCACATCACACAATAGTGTTCATAAGTTCTTCAGTCTGCTTAGTAAAAGTAAATAAGATGACAAAACCCAGTTTTTCATCTTTTAATTTTCAGATATGACATTAACATTAGTAACCTAGCAGTTACGCAACATAAATCATACCTTGTAATCAAAGTAAATGATAAGAGCTACAGCAAAAACTTTCACACGCCTCTTGTAGATGTTTCCCCATCCCATTGATTGTAGTCTGGTTGAGAAATGTATTTCTATCTAAGAAGTTATGAATCTGCAAGAAGGGAGACTAAAGCAACTAAGAAAGTGTTATTTTGGAAAAAATATGAGTCCTATCATCCTGCTAAACCAGCATGAACAATGGCAGTTAAAGGATCCAAAAACAGTTATGAAGACTTCGGTTCCGAAATAATGACTCAATGGCAAGCTAACAGACTATAAACAGTTAGGAAGACTTTAGTTCAGAAATACTTGCTCAATGGTAAACTAACAGAATAATGTTAGTCTTATGACTATCAATATAGTGTCAATAGTGGGAGGTACATCAAAATATAGCAAACCCTCCCAACCCAATCGAGAAAAGAAAAGGCAAGAAGAAACAAGTAACAGATTGGCATGCATAAAAGTAAAACGAATAATATCCTAAGAACAAAAACTTAGTTTACACATATTCTTTCCGATAGCTATTGACACACATACTTAAACCAGATGATACTCATACCTGTGGTATCATTTGGTAAAAGACCAATCCAGAGTTAAGGAGCAATTGCAAGTAAATCTTCTCTTGCAGATATGAGAACGATCACGATGCAGGTACCCCCTCCATTTTCTTTCATACGACACTCTTTCCTTTTTAATCTTTTCCAAAGACTGGTTTTTCTATATTTATGAACTCCTTATCTTACCATTCTCATTTTTCCTTTAATGGCATGCTATTACAGAAAAATGGCATATAGATGTCACTAAATATTTAGGGTATTTTTGGTGTGTAATGAATATTCAGCTCATGTCAAAAAAAGTTCTTTCTTATGTTCCATGTAAAGAAAACACGCTCGCGCACATGCACAAAACCTTATTGTTGCTTCTGCAGCCAGTGCTGTTAAAAGCTTGCTTTAACTGCTTAGGCCCTTAAGTTCACTGCTGCATATATTGATTGCTTCAATTCGCCTAAGCTGCACTTAAGTGCAAGCAACAAGACATTGAGGTGAGAGCCTCATTGACCACAGGCTCTACGCTAGAAATCGCAACAACAATCATTAAATAAAGTTCAATGTGTGAATAGAACGCACGTCACAAGCTCGAATCATACCACTGAAAAGTAACCTAATATTTAAGTGAGAAAAGGGTACATGGACACACCCATATTCCTCCGAGTTTCTAACCTGTGGACCAACTAGGGTTGGTCTGCTAAGGAATTTTTCGGTAATCAAAAGAAGATCAACATTGCTGGAAAATTAATACTATATCAATAGTTAAGAAAACATCTTAAATAAATATGCCAATGAGTAGGAACAAAATTTAGGAGAATAAAAACCTAAAAGTGGGTCTTGGCATTGAAAACATAAATTTGAACAGTTTTCAAAATTAAGCGACTGCTTTTGCTTCATTTCTTTCATTCCACTGCTTTTAGTTCTCTCCTTATTTGTGCCTTTATCAATTAAACTAGTGTTTTAGTTGTGCCTTCATCTTAGAACCCCAACAGACATTCCACACTGACAACACTTTTTTCATAATTGCAAATATTTTGATTAACATATATTTTGGAAAAAGACCCTGCATATATAGAGTAAACAAGAAAGAAATACACCTATAAGTGGGCATATCCTTTACAGAAACCATCCAATCATCAATACCTATTGGGAAAATATCAGCATATTATATGTACTATGTACTCCAAAACTATACGAAGAATGAAGATTGTCCAATAACATCTATACAGTTACAAGAGTTACCAATTCCTTCAAATATCTTCCATTTATCTCTTTCCACATTGTTCACATGAGCAGCAAAAGAATGACCTCACCTGACTTTATTTTTTTCTTCTTTTTTTCCTTTCTTCTTGATAAAGGGCTTTCATATCTATGCCTTTTCCAGCCACAGCATTAGCCTATGTAAAAACTATACTACCTTTTGAGTGATATGATTCATTTCCCTCTAATTCTCTACTATAATTATGGCAATCACTTAAGTAAAGGTCATTATAAGCAACTCGAAGTCTGTAATGAAGTCCCATTGTAACTTCAGAAAGGAGAGTTTACGTGCTCTTAGCCTCATTCAAGGTAAAATGCCGCTGAAAAATGGAGAACGGATGTGAATGATATCTTCGATTAAGCTAAGCATGACACCACAACTGAAATTACAATAATACCTTTCTAATTCTCTGTATTTTCTATTAGTGTTGCATCAAATTCTTCTTTTAGTTCCCCCCTTGAACTACAGCCTATGAGCTAATAATTGTAGAACTCAAAATGAACAATTGATGTCCCCATCTGTCCAAACCTAGGTTGATAGAGTTACCCATTACCTATGTTGGGAAAAGTAGCAAGCAACGTGGAATGCACGCAAGCTGACCCAGACACCACAATTATCACTAAAAATGAAGAATTTCCGCATGCAAGTTCTCCTAAATCAGAAAAATTTAGGTACAAAGTTCTCAAGCGCTAAGTTAACATTACAAGTTTTGTCCTTTGCTTCCAAACAACAAGAAAAGCATAAAGGAATACTACAACACGTCAAATCCTCTAGTTAAAAAATACAAATTACTTAACAAAACAACCAAAATTCACTATAAACATCAATAACAACCAACGAAAACATGAAAAAGTATAACAAAATCCAACCTTTCCAGAGAATTCCAGATTATAAATGAACTTGCATTTATAAAAAAAAATTAGCAAAACATTTCCTTTACTCTTTCTACTCCATACAATCAACAACAGTACTACATAAACAGATTAATTTAATCAAACACCAATTACCCATAAAATTAACTACCACAAACACAAAAAAAAAACACCTGAGAAATGAATAATCCAAATCATCAACAAAAAAAAACTCAATTTTCATATAATATGAACACTAATATTGAATTTTGCAATAAAAACCTGGTTAGATTGAAAGAGATTCTGCAAAATTTGGGGAAAATTAAGCGGAATTTGAAGAGGAAGAGACGGAAATCGACGTCGTTTATGAAGAAAAAATCTATAGATGCCTCTAAATAGGCTTCACTTTCGGTTAACGCTATTTGCCTCTCACCAGCTTCCGACACTGATATTTCTATTAATAAATAAATAAAAATTAAATTTTGTAGTAATTTTCAAAGCATATAATAACTGTTTTTCTTCTTACAAATAATAAAATATGACTTCACATTTGAATAATAGCACGTTTATTTAACCAAAAAAAAGTACTTTTTTTTTATTTGGTCCACTAGTAGAAATATCTCAAAAGATCACTCCAAAGAAATTAGAGAAAAAGAAAAAGTATTGATAACAATTTTAAATTTAGCACAAATTATTAATTTTATTTATAAATTATTAATAGTTTTAGAAATATTTATTTACTCGACTAATTAAATTTGGATACATTTCTGATTTGTCACGTTATATAACAGCTAGTCTCAAACTATTGTATGAGCATAGAGTTTTTAATATAAAGTCGAGAGAAGTATTGGATACACTGCTAAACTTAGCGAGAATTCAGAAATGTATTTCGTTCATGTAACAAGATCAGGAGTATATGTAAGTTCATTAGTCAAATAAAAGAATGATTTTAAGGTTGTCAGTAATTTTGAAAAATAATAATTTTCAACGAATTTAAAAATATTTTCGACTTCTCTCAATTTTTAAAATAAAATAGTTCTAAAAATAAATTAAATTTACCATTAGTATAAAATTGATATGATAAAATTAATTAAATCTTTATATCATATAGATCGAACCCTGCAAATAAAATAAAATTTTTAAAAAACATATATTTTACTATCGACATACACAAATTAAAATGGGTCTTTATTAATTCTTTTGAATAGCTATCATGTGTTTTTTTGTTTGAATCTGAAATATATTATATGCAAAAAGTGTATGTGAAGTATAATGTAAAAGGACGATAAAAATTTGTCAAAGCTGAAAAATCATCTAATTTTTATCAATTTCAATTAAAAAAATTATAAATGACTGAAAAGTATTATGTGGAAAAGTATTATGTGGAATAATAATCACAAAAGATTCAACTTAGCAAATTAGTCAAATTGTAACTCAAATAAGGATTTTATTATACAATCAATATAATATTAAATATTTTCTCTACGAGAGTCATTATTTATTTCTTGTTTTCACAAAAAACTAAATGAAGAATCGGTAATATATTATTTTTAAAAAAGAATTGATGAAGATCCATTGTGATTTGTAGTTGAACGAATAGGAAGTGAAATATGAGTATATTTTTTTTATTTGTAAGGTTCATGTCTTATATATAACATAAATAAAAATAATTACAATAGATTTATTTTATTGATTTCATAAGAAAAAAGGTGAAATTGAGTAGCTTTATCGAAAAAAAATTATATAACTTTATTATATAATTCTTCATAATTGAGTGACTTGTTGTATTTGAGCTTATTTCTAAAGTTATATATAGTATAAGGGCGGACTCACATAGAGGTCAGGGTTCATGTTGATCCCCTCATTCAAAAATTACGTTGTATATATAAGGTTATTTCTAATTTTATGTGTAATTATATTAGATCGAACTCCTTAATGTAGAGTTTTATTATTTTTGTTATCATTAATTCTCTCCATGCTATTTTTTATCTCAATTTATTTTTATTTAAATTTATTAAACATACTTTTCCTACTTTTGTCTTCTTCTTTTTTTATTTATACTGCTCATTTTATTTCTACGCAAATCTCTTTTCATGTACTAACTCAAAATTATTAAATTTAAAATTGATTTACAAAAAAATTATTATGTAAAATAAATTATCTTAAAGTTAACTGAATGAAGAAATTAATATCATGAATATTCTTTTGATAAAATCTAATCAATTAATTTTTTCCCCTTAATTTTATAGTTTTTTTTTTAGTTCAATTTTAAAAAGATGAAAACTAAATTAAACTTATTTTTATCTACTCACCATTGTCTTTTTTCACAAATGAATAACCAAGTAAATTGAAATTAATGAACTAAAAAATCGATGATATCAATTATTTATCTTATGAATATACAGTTTAGTAATTCAATTTTTACATCCTTTTTAATGAGTCTTAGTGGTCGAATTTTTAAAAAAAATTAAAATTTTAGTAGTACACTACATTATAAAAGAGAGAGAAAAAACATAAGAATTTTTTTAAGAAAAACTCGATGAAATAGGGTAAAAGTAGAAAAAAACTAAACGCAGCATGACAACGTAAGTTAAATTTTGTAAAAATTAGATATATAGCATATTTTATAATAATATTCACAATCTATAACATTAGAGTTTGTCTTCCAATGTATAACATTTAATATAGCATATTATTAAAAATAAAACTTAAATTTTAAATAATTTAAAATAATTAATAAAAAAATATCAATTTTGAAATGGAAAATAACATCTTTTTTTATTTAAATTAAATACATTTGATAGAGAGATAACTGATTAGCACATTTTAAGGAAATTTAAAAGAAAATCTGATTATCTAGTTACCTTAAAATACTCAATTTAGTTGAAAATCAATTTAAGTTGTGATTTATTTCCTTAAAACGCTCTAACAAATTGATAATCATTGTAAAATCTGTTTTTTTTTCTCGCGTTTCTCTCAATTTTTTCAGCAGATTTCATTTCATTTTTTTTGTATTGATTGAATATATTTTGTTGTTGAAAAAACGTGATTTGCTGTGATGGACAACATTTTATCTATATTAATTAAACATGATGGGAGGTGGAATTCATCAGATTGGTATTTGTTACATTTTATTAGTTTGTGTTTGGTTGTTTTTAATCAATATATATAATATTGCGTGTTTTGTACGAAACAGTGTTTTAGTATAAACCATTTTTCAAAAAAAGCACGTAACTATATAGATGTTTAGTATAAACCATTTTTCAATTTGTTATGTTTTTAAAGTACAAAGTTTGTTGTGAATAGTAATTTCTGTGTGTGACATGATGTATTTTTTTTTTAATAATTGTGTATGAATTGTATGTGAATTATGTATCATGTTAGTATTTAGTATATTTTGAATATATGTTACTGTGTGGTAAATGAAGGTAAATTCTGTATGAAATGTTTCCAATATGTGTATGAAATTTGTATTTATTTTTAGTAGATAGTCTATTTGTGAATGAATTATGTAAATATTTAGTATATTTTGAATATATGTTACTGTTTGGTAAACAAAAGTGAATTATGTATGTTATGTTTCCAATATGTCTATGAAATT